TCTTTTCGTAGATATCATTGATGAAGTAACTTGGATTAGAGCCCTTGTAAATAGGTATTGAAACAGTCATGAACATCTTCCACACCAAATTTTTAACATCCTCGTTAATCTTGTTCTTTGTAACCCAAATCTCCATGTTATTTGTTCCTTTAAATTTATTTAATACTGAAAGTCGATCTCCCCTAAAAACTGAGAGGATTGGAATATCAGAAGAATCCTTCTTCCACGGTAGAACGCAAAAGATTTTGAATATCTCTTTGGAAAAATCAAAACTTTGGATGAGATATTCATCTGTCTCATAGCTATAACTAGTCCAATACAAATTTCCATTCAAAGATACGTTATTATCTAATGAATCTCCTCCTATGGTATTCTTTCCATCGGAAATACCATTAATACATTTCCACGCATTGCTTTCAAACTTGGAGATAGCAAATCTTTTATTAAACTTAGAGGTATTACCATTAACACTTTGCCAACTATGACTATGTCCAAATACATGGTACCCTTTTCCGGGTCTACCACTATCGTATCCTATGCCACCAAACCTGAAATGTTCTTCCCCCGACTTGATCAATCTAGATTGTCTCAACGTTGGGTTCCAAACAGCGGCTTTATTGCTCCACCACCATGAGGCACAAAACAATAAGTCATTGCAAGGAAGAAAGTTTGTAGTCCTATGATCAATTACATCAGGAATATCTAAGGGCAATTCACGCAGCTCTATTTTTGGATCATCGCTAAGACTCACACCTACCGAATAAACCTTGGAATTGGTCCATAAAAGGAACTGAGGACGGGTGAGAGCCAAGTGCTTCTTGATGAACGTCTTATCGTTGAGAAGTGTGTTCCATTCTTTGGAAACGGTTTTGAATCGGGTAATAGATGGAGATGGAACACGGTAGAGTATCTCTTCCACCAATTCCCCTGGAAAATTCACACATGCCATTTGGTCTTTGATTTAACTAGCTAACTACATAATAAAATATAATAATAAGAGGTGGGAAAACTAAAGTTAAAAAAAAAAAGGTAAGTATTTATACAATAGAGGAATTAAGTTAGATACTCTAAATATATAATATGTGTTTAAATCATAACTAATAAACTTGGATAAACTTCTCCAAGATATGACATAGTAAGTGTTATCTTTTATGAGACAACAGTTGTAGTCATAAGTTGACAAATTTTTTATGTAATAATTATTAATGTATTTAAATAAACTTAGAAATAAATATACTTAATTTTTCATATTGTCAAATTTCAATCACTTAATTAATATATAGTAAATTATTATGTAAAATTTAACATAAGCTTTAATTATATTTAGATATTTTAAGTTAATTCCATGTCATATATTTTCACATACTATATATATGATATATGATTCCCAACAGATGGAGACTTATCCATCATCCTTTGTCTTTTCCATATCCATCATTCTTGGTCTTCTCCAGGTTACGTTTATTTTTGTAGCGTTTTATGCAAACTTGAAATAAATAAATAAATTTTCACAACAATTCTTATTTAAAAAGGTGAAAATTTTATATTCTGTTAAACAGATAATTTTGTTTTTCATTCTGTAAAAAAACAGAAAAAGGTTTTGCAAACTAGGAAAGTTTAGTAGTAACATTAAACAAGGAAGAACTCGAGTTAGACAAAAGAAAGATTTTATGTAAAAATAATTGGATTTATTTCTTATAAATGCTTAAGATATTCCTATTATAGACAAACCATACACACATAAACCACACACTTAATATATCCTTTATGCTTTAATTAGCATCAGATTTTCGATCACCGACTTTTAGAACTGAAAATAGTTACCAAGCCCGACTACTCTCAGAACTGAGCAGGCTCTTGACAAAAGTTCAACTATACGACGTGCATTGTCAATCAATAAAGCAAGCACTTATCCTCTTTTAAAATTTCTTTAGTAACTTTGTTATAAGTGGCTTCAATAATTCTTCTTTTGTCTCGTCAAAAAGGGCTGCTTTTCTATATTTTCCACAATATTTCTTTAAGTATTTTGATTGGATCGTCGAACGGTGTAATTGGCTCACCATTGAACTGCCCAGTGGAACATTTAAGAGAACAGATATATTATATTCAAAAGATATGCTCTCAATCTTACATTTTCATGATTAAGGAGGGACTAATTTACAGAACTGAGTTCAATCTTCTCATCTACTGTAGTTTGGTCTCTTTCTTCTCGTGTTTCATCGTACTGCATGCGTTCCAACCCTATAACTAATTAGGGGAGGAAATTGTATTAGAAACAAATAATGAGGAAAGATCAAAGATGAATAGAAGTTCTTCAAAAAAATTAAATTTTTTTTTTCAAATATTGGGGTTCATTTAACAAAATATAATAATACAAGGGGTGGCTTGCAAAGACTGCGCATCCGCCTTCTTGCTTTAGAATTTGGGCCCGTACTAGAGATTACGGGGATCAACAATAGATTCATACTTTCAAGGAACATCGATAGACAATTATTTAACCGTACTTACAAAATAAGTGTTGTTATGATCACCATTTGGTTGTCAAATGGAAATTGACAAGCTATTGAAATTAAATAAAATCTCTAACTCTTTTTTTTTTTTTTTTTTTTTTTTTTTTTTTTTTTTTTTTTATCTCTAACTTACTTATGTCATTTTAATTAAAGTTCATGGATTATGATATCTACAAACAATTTTTTTGTATTTTTTTTTGACAGCACCAACAATTTTTTTTCTTATTTTAAAACATCTTTATGGTAATGGCTAGATGATTCCAAAATATGGAATTTTTATTTTAATATATATATATATATATAACTGTTTATAGAGAGACTTAAATTCTGAGATAAAACTGTTTTGATTTGAAAAAAAAACTATAAAACGATAGTCAATTTGTATTAGTATTTCACAATAAGCAAATAATTTGTGTATCTCCTTTTTGTCAAAGAAAACTTTTGTGTACCACTTATACATTTTTGAATCTTATGGATCCATTACTTCATAACTCTCCAAACGATACATTTGCTTTTGCTAGTAAATTCGGAAACGAGTTAACATGATATCGACCTTATGGTTGATCAAAGTTTACAACATTGATTAGCGAGGAAAAAAGAAATGAAAACGGAAAATCAATATGAATAATAAAAAGGTTACTAACAAACAAGGACCTTTAATTATGATCCACATCCTCTTCCAAGCTACAATATGTTATTTTGGAACAAGAGAAATTGTCTTCTTCACACTAACGTTGCAACTCCCTCTCACATCATCGGCAGCAAATTTTTCACTTTAATTCTCAAGCTAACATTGCATTTTGTCTAAGAAAACGAAATATTTTAATTTTTAAGACATACCAAAAAAAAAAAAGTTGCATAAACTACTTCAATAACACATCGAAGTAGTATATATATTTTAATATGTACAACGTCAATTCAACCATACCTATTAATTGTAAGCTAGATCCTAATTGGTAGATCAATCTTTGTGAAGTTCCAAGAATTTTGTTATAAATATATAATCTATGGTGTTAGTGTTTTGTCCAAAAAGATGAAAGTGTCCATAAAGCAAAGGAAGAAGATAAAATAGAGACGTCATTTCCATTTTTTCAAACTACTTTGGTAATGGATTTGTTTGCAACTTGATTGATATTTTTCCGATTTGGCGTCTATCATTTTCAAAGAACAATGACGTAGTCATTTCATATTTGCCGTTTCCTCATCACTTTTACTAATTTTATATTATATATTGTCCAACCGTAAAATTAATTTCTGTATATTGGTATTTCTTATCTAAAACCAAATATACATGTTCAATCTTAATTTTAATCTAAACAGACTTTCTAATTCAAAGCTGAAATTTTTTTGTGTGTAAAAGAAAGCTCACTTTCAATTTTTTTTGAGATATACGTCTATAATGCTTCGTATTTATAATCTGAAAAAAAAAACTTTTTAAGCACTATTTATAATATACAAATAAACTGGTTTTACAAAATAATTAGGGTAATATTTTTGCAAAAAGGGCATGAGAAAAGGGGTATTTTTGCTAATCCCCCTATTTTATTTTACTTTTCAAGTACGTTTATATACCTTTTTCTATAAAGAAATATGTGACGAGACATATATATACATCAAAATGTCTTATCTAAGGCATATGTTAGGAAAGAGAGCTAACCGATATGTCTATACATTTTGTGAGATTTGGGATATTACTCATAATACTAGTCAGGTGCATTGTTGAAATATTTTCTTATTTATAAATAAAATATTTTCTTGTTATGAAAAGTAGATATTTGTGCATATATATATGCAATGATATTGGTTAATATGATGTGAATACTGGGTTGGATATTTTATGAGGCATATCCACATATCTACAAGAATATATTTAATCCTACACATATTATAATAGAAAAGTTTCTTTTTTGGTTTGCCATGTTGAATAGTACACATGATCCTGGACACTGTTGGGTGGGTAGATACATTGGGCTGCACTTTAAAAGAAGTAACCAATCTTCTTCAAAAATTTAAAAGATACATATAAAGGAAAGTTAATTACAACGAATCATTAAAGCTTAATTAATTACTTCAATCATTTTTAAATCAAGTATGTGTTGTGGAAGGACATCTACTTGATCAAATGATTTAAAGCTCTATATTATGATTCTTGTAAAAGTCCCATAAAACGTACTTGCAAATTTTTATCTGAATCTTCAAATTTAATAATCAGTTTTAGTTTAAATTCTGGTAGATTAGTGATGGATTCTATTTTTTTAGAAACTACAAATTTTATAGTCACTTTTAGAGTGATACAAAATTCATAAAATTCTTTATTTTCTCTGATAAAAACATCTAAACATATGGCTCTCAAGCCTGAAGGTATGCTACCTACTTAATTGAATTTAATATTCCTACGAGATTATGTAAGAATTGTCCACACTGAAGTGACACGTCATCGTTAGAGTCACCTTTTTCCTCGTATATAAATTACACATCGTTATAATCGAAACACACCATCACCTTTCTCTCTTCGTTAACATTACAATCTCTTCATTTTCTTCATTAGACCACAAAACTTCACTATAACCTAACATGGCAACGAGTCATCCTGATCCAACCAACTCTTGCCACGTGGCAGTAATCGGAGCCGGAGCCGCTGGACTCGTAGCTGCTCGTGAGCTACGTCGTGAAGGCCACTCAGTTGTCGTCTTAGAGCGCGGGAGCCAAATCGGAGGCGTGTGGGCTTACACCTCTGAAGTCGAACCTGACCCGCTTAGCCTCGATCCGACCCGACCCGTCGTCCACTCGAGCCTCTACAGATCCCTACGTACCAACATCCCCAGAGAATGCATGGGTTTCACCGACTTCCCTTTTGCGACCCGACCACACGACGGGTCGAGGGATCCGAGAAGACACCCGGCTCATACTGAGGTTCTTGCTTACCTGCGAGACTTCGCTAAAGAATTCGATATCGAGGAGATGGTAAGGTTCGAGACTGAGGTTGTTAAGGCGGAGCAGATGGCGGCGGAGGGGGAGGAGAGAGGGAAGTGGATGGTTGAATCGAGAAGCTCCGATGGTGTTGCCAACGAGATATACGACGCCGTTGTGGTTTGTAACGGACACTATACAGAGCCTCGTCATGCTCTTATCACTGGTAATAAGCAAAACCTTACCTGTGTCATGAGTTATGTATTGTATTTGTTCAATTTAAGAAGAATTTTATCGACATATTTTTTTAAAAAAAACTATTATCGAAATATGCACTGGTTTAAAAATATTTTCCATAAAAGTAAGAAAATTATCATGAAAACTATTAATTCAATGAAAAAAACAGATTTTTCTACTTGTGAACAGAGTTTTCTTGAGGGATGGCTTATTCGTCAAACAATATCAAGATTTACGTTTTCTTTTGGGAATAATTTTTTTTCAGGCATAGATTCATGGCCAGGCAAGCAAATTCACAGCCACAATTACCGTGTTCCTGATCAATTCAAAGATCAGGTAATTGCAAAAGAATCTCATCACTATATTGAATCTTGTACGTGATCTCATATATTTCAACGTTTCTCTTCACTTTAAACTCTTTGATCGTTTCCTTTTTTTTGTGCTCGTAGGTGGTGATAGTGATCGGAAGCTCAGCGAGTGGAGTTGATATATGCAGAGATATAGCGCAGGTCGCGAAAGAAGTCCACGTATCATCTAGATCAACTTCACCAGAGACCTACGAGAAGCTTCCCGGTTACGACAATCTATGGCTTCACTCAACGGTATACTAACTGACCGGCCAATGAATGATGTTGATTGTTTGATGATTCGATTAATCCATATATAAGACCGTTGAATGATTTCTTGCGACGTTGATTGTAGATTGAAATTGCCCGCGAAGACGGTTCGGTGGTTTTCGAGAACGGAAAGACAGTTTACGCGGATACCATTATGCATTGTACCGGGTAAGATACACTTCTGGCTCAAATCTCTAAAAGAGATTAAACATCAAAACACAGAACATGGAATATATAAATGTGTTTTGAAAACGTTATCATTGACTCTTGTTAATTATCTTCATCAGGTACAAGTATTACTTCCCGTTTCTTGACACGAAAGGTGAAGTGACTGTCGACGATAATCGTGTTGGACCGTTGTATAAGCACGTATTTCCTCCAGCTCTTGCCCCGAGCATTTCGTTTATCGGCTTACCATGGCAGGTTAATAATCTTAATAATGTTTCTGATTTGCTTATGAGAATATATTTGTTGCTTTTGCACATGATCTCATTGTTTGGTTTAACTTGGTTTCTTAGATCACTCCCTTTCCGATGTTTGAGCTTCAAAGTAAGTGGGTCGCAGCGGTCTTGTCCGGCCGAGTATCTCTCCCATCGCAAGACGAGATGATGGAAGACACTAAGGCATTCTACGATAAGCTCGAAGCCTCGGGGATTCCCAAAAGATATACACATTTGATGCCTGATGACTCTCAGGTACACATATTTCTTACCGCCACTTTTCATGTTATCTAGATAAAAATGGTTGAGACTAAACATTCTTTTGGTTGAATTATTGTTGCAGTTTGAATACGACAATTGGCTTGCGGATCAATGTGAATATCCCCGGATAGAGAAATGGAGAGAACAAATGTTTTACATTGGTTTCAAGAGAATATATGCACAATCCGCTACATATAGGGATAATTGGGACGATGATCATCTCATTGTAGAAGCATACGATGATTTCGTCAAATTTATGTCAAGCTATCAAGAACTTTTGCCGATGCTCAAAGCCTAATGATAATTGACGTGGGAGCTTTGGTATGTGAAAACGATGCGTGGGTATATGTGTTATGTAATTTGTAAGTGTGTCTTGTGGTTGCTATGTTTTCCAAAATGTGAAAAAGTAGAGTAATAGTGTTATTGTATATGGGGACTAACTGTAAAACAATAAGATATGGAATGATTTCATAAATACTTTGGAATTATGCAGTGAACTTTTCAGAAGGGAAAAAGCAAATTTCCCATTGCATGATTGTGCATTCATCATCCATGACATCAGTTAGCACTTCTAACTTGTGTCTTTTATAAGTACGACTTGACTTGTTCTGTGTTACATGGACCCACTAAATCTATTTCCTTTTCTTTTTTTTCTTCAAATAACCACTAAAATCTATTTTGTGAATATATATGTGTTCTAATATTATTATTATAGTTTCATTTTAAATAAATTTTTGCATTAAACATAGTAACATACAATGAGGCATAACCTTTATCAAAAAAAAAGAAGGGAGGATTGAGGCAATTCCTTCAGTAGAAACATAAAATTACTGAAAAAGAACTGGTCCAAGGTTTATTTTTCTATGGCAGCAAAACTTCATTTCAATATATCATAACATAGATCAAGATTTGATAGCGTAATTACTACGCCTTGATCATCAAGAGTTTCTTCTTCTTTACTAAAGCTTTGCGCTTGTAGTGGAGGAATCGCATCCTTAGCTATAGTAAGCTTGGACAACTTTTCCTGTAATAATAATACAAGTTGTAATTAAGAATAATCAAATCAATGAATTCAATAAAAGCCTAGCTAGATGACAGAGATATATTTCTCAATTGCAAAGCTTGTTTCTATAAAAAGAGAAAGTAGATAATATAACCTGAATATAAAATTTATCAGAGTGATCCGATCCCTTCGCACACCTACGGATTTTTCTTGCAGCAAAAGGTTTTTTAAAGATACGTAGAGTCGTGGAACGTTTCGAACTTATAAAACACCCGCCCCTTCCACGGCCCAAGCTATGGCGACTCTTCCCCATGATTCTTGTCTTGTGCCTCCTTAAACCCTAGCTACATATATATAAGTAATTTGGGCCTAACTTTTTTTTTATTATTCCACGGCCCAACTTCGGTTTGGTTTGTCAAATCATCTTTTAGCCGTACGGAATTGAATCTTGACACTTAAAACCTCAAAAGAGTGTCGTTGGTTTTGTTCTGTTGCTCTGCTTTTTGCTTCCTCTGTCACATGATTTGCATCAAACTTCTAACAACAAACTCCAGTGTGGTTGTGTGTTTGGAGTGTCAGTGTTCATTGTAATGTAGCTATGATGGTATTTTAAGTGGGAAGAATGTGAAATTATGTTTCTTAATATTGCTCTCTCTCTCTCTCTTTCCTCAAGTATAAGATAGAAAATAGACAAGTATGCTAGTATGATGAGTTGATATTGATTTCTCAATTTGGTTCCTCAGCCTATTTGTTATTACTCTGTGTGATCAATTCCAGTGTGCACACCACTTGTTTGATGAATTGTCTCTGTGGAGAATTTTTTGTAAGTACTCCTTTCTCAAGTGAAAATCTATTTCTCTTTGGAAAATTGAAATGTTGTTTTTGTGAGTTTAGTAAGAACCGTCGTTGATCTGAGCTCAAGATGATTGCAATTCTACAGAACCATAAACCCTTTACACACTTAAAATTGATTTTAACTTTTAGACAGTACTAATAAGTAATAAGTGGTTAACTACACGATCGAATCAAGTGTACACGACTCATCATATCATTAGTTCATTACCAACAATTCCTCGTCACTTAAATATCTGTTTTTTTTATAATGATATTTTCTTGTTCGGAGCATCCCAAACCCAAATTCGTTCGCTTTTGTCATAAGTCACATTGCATCACTGATAGATTTCCCATAATTCGACCTGAATCTCTCTCCTTCGCTCTCTTCAATCTCTGTCTCCTTCTTGTTATTGTATGGCGAATGCAACTGGGTTCTTCACGCATCTTTCATCGCTATCAATGAGCGTTTCCGGATCTGGATTGAGTCGGCGTCGCCGGAGGTAAAGTTTCTGTCTTTTACAGATTAGTCAACGTAGTGACATCGTTAAATTGTTTCGAAGTTTACGTTTTTACTACACATTGACTAGTCTTAGAGATGTTCTATTATGCATATACTGACATAGACTTTTCCTTTCCGAATGCAAAGACTTATCTTTTCCTCCTCTACCTAATCTGTGAATCTTTTTCTCTTTCTCTCTCTTTTCCTTGATTGTGCAGAGATGGGAGGTTGTTTCTCTGTTTCATTGCCATGTGATCAAGTAGTGAGTCAGTTCTCTCAGTTGTTATGTGTCAGGGGGAGTTATATTCACAATCTCTCCGAGAATCTGGCTTCTCTAGAGAAGGCCATGAGAATGCTCAAGGCTCAGCAATATGATGTGATAAGAAGGCTGGAAAGAGAAGAGTTTACGTCAACAAAGGCTTTCCCAAGTTCAGGTATGGCTTACTAGTGTCCTAATCATTCAAAACCAGTTTGATGATCTGCTTTCTAGTAAAGAGGTTGAGCTTCAAAGGTTATGTCTCTGTGGTTTCTGCTCCAAAGATTTGAAATTGAGCTATCGTTATGGGAAAAAGGTTAACATGATGTTGAGGGAAGTTGAGAGTCTCCGTTCTCAAGGATTTTTTGATGTGGTGGCTGAGGCAACTCCGTTTGCTGAGGTGGATGAGATCCCTTTTCAACCCACAATTGTTGGTCAGGAGATAATGCTTGAAAAAGCATGGAACCGTCTCATGGAAGATGGATCCGGGATTTTAGGTCTGTACGGTATGGGGGGAGTAGGCAAAACCACACTACTCACCAAGATCAACAATAAGTTTTCTAAAATAGGTGACAGATTTGATGTTGTGATTTGGGTTGTTGTGTCTAGAAGTTCAACAGTCCGTAAGATTCAAAGAGACATAGCAGAAAAGGTTGGCCTTGGGGGGATGGAGTGGGGCGAGAGAAACGATAACCAGATAGCCGTTGACATCCACAATGTCCTTAGGAGACGAAAATTTGTTTTGTTGTTGGATGATATATGGGAGAAAGTGAATTTGAAAGCGGTTGGGGTCCCGTATCCAAGCAAAGATAACGGATGCAAGGTAGCATTCACTACTCGTTCTCGAGATGTGTGTGGGCGCATGGGGGTTGATGATCCGATGGAAGTTAGCTGTCTACAACCCGAAGAATCATGGGATTTGTTCCAAATGACAGTTGGGAAAAATACACTGGGAAGTCACCCAGACATTCCCGGACTTGCTAGAAAAGTCGCTAGGAAATGTCGTGGCCTACCATTAGCACTAAATGTTATCGGTGAAGCTATGGCATGCAAAAGAACAGTACATGAATGGTCTCATGCCATTGACGTTTTAACATCCTCTGCCACAGATTTTTCAGGCATGGAAGATGAAATTCTCCATGTTTTGAAGTATAGCTATGATAATTTAAATGGGGAGCTGATGAAATCCTGCTTCCTCTATTGCTCTCTGTTTCCTGAAGATTATCTTATTGATAAAGAGGGGTTGGTAGACTACTGGATATGTGAGGGATTTATAAATGAAAAAGAAGGCAGAGAGAGGACACTAAACCAAGGTTATGAGATAATTGGTACCCTTGTCCGTGCATGTTTGTTGATGGAGGAAGAAAGGAACAAATCAAATGTAAAAATGCATGATGTGGTTCGTGAGATGGCTCTATGGATATCATCCGATCTTGGGAAGCAAAAGGAGAAATGTATTGTGCGAGCTGGTGTTGGGTTATGTGAAGTACCACAAGTCAAGGATTGGAACACTGTGAGAAAGATGTCTTTGATGAATAATGAGATTGAAGAGATATTTGACAGTCACAAGTGTGCTGCACTCACAACTCTATTTCTCCAAAAGAACGACATGGTAAAGATCTCGGCTGAATTCTTTCGATGTATGCCTCATCTGGTGGTTTTAGATCTATCAGAGAATCAGAGTCTTAATGAATTACCAGAAGAAATATCACAGTTGGCCTCTTTGAGATATTTCAACTTGTCATATACTTGTATACATCAACTACCTGTTGGTTTATGGACATTGAAAAAGCTAATACATCTGAATCTCGAACACATGAGCAGTCTTGGGAGTATAATGGGGATATCAAATTTGTGGAATTTGAGGACATTGGGACTACGAGATTCCAAACTGTTGCTAGATATGAGTTTAGTGAAGGAGCTGCAGCTCTTAGAACATCTAGAAGTTGTGACCCTAGATATATCATCAAGTTTGGTTGCAGAGCCATTGCTATGCTCTCACAGGTTGGTGGAATGTATAAAAGAGGTAGATATTAAGTACCTTAAGGAAGAATCAGTGAGAGTATTGACTTTGCCAACCATGGGTAATCTCCGTAGGCTCGGGATAAAAATGTGTGGAATGAGGGAGATAAAGATAGAGTCGACAACTTCATCATCATCGCGGAACAAAAGTCCCACAACTCTATTCTTCTCAAACCTCTCCAGAGTCTTTATAGCTAAATGCCATGGTCTTAAGGATTTGACGTGGCTATTGTTTGCTCCGAATCTCACTTTTCTTGAAGTTGGGTTCTCAAAGGAAGTAGATGATATAATCAGCGCAGAAAAAGCTGAGGAGCATTCTTCAGCTACGATTGTTCCTTTTAGGAAACTAGAAACGCTACACCTGCTTGAATTACGCGGGCTCAAGAGAATCTATGCGAAGACTCTGCCTTTTCCGTGTCTGAAAGTTATCCATGTAGAAAAATGTGAAAAGCTGAGAAAGCTTCCATTGGATTCGGAAAGTGGGATCGCCGGTGAAGAACTTATCATATATTATGGAGAGAGAAAATGGATAGAAAGGGTTGAATGGGAGGACCAAGCCACTCAACTCCGTTTCTTACCTTCATCCAGATGGCGGTGGAGAGAAACACAATGAACTTCATTTACTTCTACAAACTTTTCCTCCTGTCGTCTTATTTGCATAAACGTTCTCATCGTTCTTTTGGTTAGTGTTCATTGGATTTGTATTTAGCTCTCTATTTTGTTAATATGCCGGACAATTTAAACACTTCTCTTAACAATGAGTGTTAGTTTCGGCTTCATAGAAACATTACACAGACCTTTGTTTCTTGGTTAGAAGAAGAAGACTCATGAGATGATGTATAAAAAAAACTTTAAAGTTACTAACCATAATAATAAAATAATAATTAACTGTCTGATCTAGTTGACAGTTTTCGGATAAATTAGAAAAGGCGGGACCCACCTTAATCGGAAGATATCAACGGCTGGATCTGCCTACTCTGATCAACGTCAGCGAAAAAAATGGCACTCTCGTTGCAATCTCCGCCTTGTGCAACTCTCTCTGCTTCAATCCAAGTACTCTCCTCTTCGCTTACTTCTTTCAATCGCATGTATTTGTGCATTGTTTGTTTTTATCTAATGGATGCGAGCTTTGAACTTCGCAGAAGGGACGATTGAAGACGCTCGCCGCCGGATTCTCCGTTACTCCTCTTCCCGCCGTTAACTTCAGTCTCCGTCGATCGATTCCTCGGATTCTTGCTTCCGCTAGTTCATCTTCCTCTCCATCGTCTTCGTCTCTCGAAGCTGGTATTGTTTATAGCTTAGATGATCGTGTTTCTCATCATTCATCAATATGATTTCTGGAAAGACAAAATAAAAAAAGTATGTGTTTTTAAAAGATTGACTACGATTCAAGCTTTCTTTTGATCTGTGTTTGTTTTTGTAATGATTGGAATCACTTGTTAGGAAGCTATGCTTGACAAAGTTGCTATTTTTGAGCTTGAAAGTAGGGACCTTTTTTGTAGTTTGGGTGCTTTGAGTCGTATATTGGTCCAAAACTGATGCTACAGTGGTTCTGGTTGATTTATGGTTGAAATTGAATTGTTGAATTTGAATAAACGAATTGTGTCTTTGGTGTATAACTTTGTTCTTGGATGATATCGGTGTTCCTAAAGCTCTCAACTTTATTTCTTCTGGAATGCTTTTGGATGATCATTGAATTGTTTGATGAAATTGTGTTTTTCAGGTGAGAACAATGAGCTAAATGCTGTTTCAGCTTTTAGTGAGATTGTTCCTGATACTGTCGTTTTCGATGACTTTGAGAGGTATGATATATATCTCTACTTCATGAGACTTTAGTTACACTGGTATATCATAAAATCGGTGAGATTCTATTGAGTTTTTGTCTGGATCAAGGATACAAGAAAGAAATTAGCTTAAGATGTAAAAACTCCCTCACAAGTATAACTTCTAACCTTTAGTTATTGTGAAATTCTATCTTTGGCTTGGAGATAGTATAACTTTTTGGTTTTCTAATTTTGCTGGATTGATCCCTTTGTTGTATATTACTGATCTGCAGGTTCCCGCCGACTGCAGCTACTGTTAGCTCTGCTCTTCTTCTGGGCATCTGTGGTCTACCCGATACCATTTTCCGCGTAAGCATTTTAGGAGTTTTGATATATAGATGATAATATATCACATCATGCTTACTTAAGTTTGACATCTTTACATAATGATTAGAATGCTGTGGACATGGCTTTGGCGGATTCTTCTTGTGCAGGTCTTGAAACCACCGAATCTCGACTCTCTTGCTTTTTCAATAAGGTTGATCTTCTTATCCCTTATCTGTTTATCAACTTCCAGATCTTTGCTGCTTAGAAGCGTTTTTTGCCCTTATCACTGATGAGAAAAGTGCAGGCTATTGTCAACGTAGGTGGCGATCTTGTCAAACTCGTTCCAGGTCGAGTTTCAACTGAAGTGGATGCACGTCTTGCTTATGACACAAACGGCATTATCCGCAAGGTAGTTACTAAACCATATATAAGATAATTTGATTATATGTTTCCTCTATCTTCAAATCACTGACTTGTAATGTGATCATGCTGTTGATGTGTGTAGGTTCATGATCTGCTGAGACTATACAATGAAATCGATGTACCACACGAGCGGCTCCTATTCAAAATCCCTGCAACTTGGCAAGTAAGATTATTTTCAGCAAATAACAAAGCTTTCCCTTTTACTGGTCTCTCAGTATTGTGCTTATCGCTCTGATAGGGTATTGAAGCTGCAAGATTGTTGGAATCTGAGGGAATCCAAACGCATATCACCTTCGTTTACAGGTACCATAAAACAGACCTTTTGACTCTCTTGTTTTAGAATTGTACATCCATCTGATTTTTGTTCTTTATACTCTCTTTTTGCATTCATCATCAGCTTTGCTCAAGCTGCAGCAGCTGCTCAAGCCGGTGCTTCTGTTATTCAGATTTTCGTCGGTCGCCTCAGGGTAACCATTTTTTTAATAGATGCTTAGTAATTTCAGACTTTCAGTGATATGCCAAAGTTAATATCTTAAAATCTTTAGGATTGGGCGCGTAATCATTCGGGAGATACCGAGATTGAATCTGCTATTAAATCGGGAGAAGATCCCGGTTTGGCCTTGGTCAAAAGATCATATAACTACATTCACAAGTATGGTTACAAGTCCAAGCTGATGGCTGCTGCAGTTCGGAACAAACAAGACTTGTTCAGTCTTCTCGGGTAAACTCAAACTTCCAAATCGCAGACCATCATCAGATTCTGATCCCATTCTAACTCTTAATGTTCTCCTCAATCTCAGGGTCGATTATGTCATTGCACCATTGAAGGTACTGCAATCTCTCAAAGACTCACCCGCCATTCCCGACGATGAAAAATACTCATTCGTTCGGAAACTTACTCCTGAAACCGCAACACATTACCACTTCACAAACAAAGAGGTTAGCTCTGAACCTAACCAACACTCTTTTGCCTCTGATTTAGCTAAACCAGTGTCTCACCCTTTTTGTTTGATTTTGGGTTAGCTGATCAAATGGGACCAGCTAAGCTTGGCTTCAGCTATGGGTCCTGCATCAGTGGAGCTTTTATCAGCTGGTGTCGAAGGTTATGCGAACCAAGCGAAACGCGTTGAAGAGCTTTTCGGAAAGATTTGGCCACCTCCTAATGTCTAAAACGAAGCTTTTCTCTTCATCACGAAAGATCTGTATCAATAAGAGAACTAAATGTCCATGTTACTTGAACACTACCCTCTTTATCTTCCTCCCCCTTTTTCTTTTTCGTGTGTCTTGTAGTTCATCATGGTTTCTGATCTGAGACTTTTTTTTTTTTTTTAACAACAAAAAAGAAGACTTTAGTTGAAGACTAAAACCAATCCTTGTCATGTTGTTCTGTATAATTTTTTGGTTTTCTAATTTTGCTGGATTGGTACTGATCGGATTATACGAACCGATTAATTTTGTAGAACCAATCGGTTCGATAAAAGTTTGCATCAAACTAAATTTTTTACTATCAACTGAAAATACATAAAGTTTTTTCTTAGACAAATAAATTTGGACATTGGCATCCAAACACTGTTTGTTTGGCAAATTCTAAAATAAATGGTTAAAAATGTTTTTTTTTTTTTTTGTGGGCGAGAAAGATTGATTAAATACAAAAAAAAAGTGGGAATATATGGGAACCAAATGATAAATAACATGAAGTCATGAAGACAATAAAGAGGATGAACATAAACTTATCCATCTCAGTCAGATGCATTATCTGATCTCTGGTCACTTCTCTATCAACCTTCTCTAGTAATTTCCACACAAGCAGAAACGTACAATGTTATAAATCTAGTTTAATATAATTATCTTCTAATTTTAATTGAATTTAGTTCAATCATTTTTTTCTATCTATGATTGTGTTTTTCTTTTGACGACGTGTGTGATTGTAAATTGTTGTGGGTTCATATCAATAGATTACAATGAAATAGCTCGATTTCAATGCAACTTCATTACAAAGTCGAATAATTGGAGTGAAATAGAGTGACTGACTGATTGCTTATCCTTTTGATTATTAAAAGATAATTATTATTACTTTTTTGAATACATTTTACGAAAATTATAAGGTTCTCAAATTTTCTCGAACTATTTTTTTCGTATTTTTCTTCTCCTAGAATTATTTGTTTAGCAACATATCGTAGATTCTATTTCAAGAGGGAGACAGAGCACGTGGTGTCTGCCAGAAACCTATCGGTCATCTACATGTGGATCTAGTTTCCCCACATCCTATAATTATTATACAAGATCTTGTCTTTTCCATCTTGTTGATTTAACGTAAATGGCTGTATATTCCATAAAAAAAAACAACCTTAAAGAGATTAGTAGTAAGAAAATTGTTTCATATGGCTTTTGGATTGTGTTTGCGTTTGTTATCGTCGTTCCTTAACCGTGTTTAGGTACTTAGCGAAATAGATGTTACAATTATAACAAATTGTATAGAGTATTTTAATCGTATTAATATATCTTACCGATCGAATTTTCGTTCAAGATTTTCATAAGAACAAAATTATGATCTTACTAGTTGATAGATGCAATAATTAGAGTTATGGCTTCAATTCCACATGCAAGTGATATGTGGCTACAAGAGGTTTCACGTGTTAAAATAATTGTTTATTTTTGTACAAATTGACGTTGGTTCATTTATTCTCACCATTATTGGACACTGGTTCCTGTAACACGATTGTGATTGAGACAATGTTTTATATTTAAACAAATGTTTCATGTGCTTGACCAAACTAACAAGTGGTTAAATTGCAAAACTAGTTTTCCTAATGAACCTAAAGTTATTGTTTTTTTTTTTGGTAATTACCTAAAGTTATTGTTTATTAATCCATTTTGTTACAGAGTTTAAGACAAATATTACATTTCCTTAAGCCATGTTTTTATAGATCTGAGATCTCAAATTAAACCTTGGAGTCTAGCTAGTTATTTCTTAAAATCGACTCGAAATATATAAGAATTAATCACTTATTTTAACTTATTTTTTAATTTAGGCAAAAAGAAAAAAAAGAGTTTTAATTTATTACTTAAGTTTAAACTAGTAGTTGGCCGGTCATGTTTTCATGTTTCTCGATCTTTCTAAATTAATTATATTAATTCAACGTTAATAAATCAATTTAAGTTGGTCATATGACTCATACTAATATCACTATTACACGGAAGTCAAAATCTTAGAAAACTGGAATATGAATTAGTTTCGTGTAAAAACAGAATTAATTTCGTATTAGAGTCACTAATCTTTTCATCTGCAATTCCAATCAGTTAAAATGCTCATAAAAATAGTCATAGGATTGTATTCAGTGACCTGCAAGTTTCATGGATGAGTCATTAATAATATAAATTTATTTACTAAATTTTACTATTACATGTGAAAAATTTATATAAAATAAAATTTTATTACATATGAAAATTTTACATATTACGCAAAAATGAGAATTCATATTAGAAATCCACAAAAGTCAGTTTTCTAAAATTCGAAAGACTATCTATCTATCTACGGATATGTATAAAAACTACGTGGACAATTCATATCATTGTCATACCCATTCAAACAATCGAAAGACTAATTAATTAACCGATAAGGACGAATACAATTGTTTTCCTTATGAAATTCTTTTACTTTATTTTCCAATTTTGAGAAATTTTATTAGTTTACGTATTATAACCAAAATATATATATATATAATTTATTTTCTACTTTATTTAAAAAACTTTAATGATTTTTCTAATAACACGGCATAAATACAAACAGAAAATTACAGTTCTAATTTGTAGACCAAAACTCTTTTTACTTTTGACATTTGTACCCAATTCTCTCTCTTCCAGCGAAGCAGGAAGACATTAAATAATAAATCCAACAATTCTTGTGAGATTCAACACTTTTTTTTTTTTTTTTTTTTTTACAATTCTCGATATTATAAATATATAAACACGTTTGCTCTTTCTCGTGTCAACAAATCTCAAAAAGAAAAACTCGAAAACGAGAAAAATGGCGAGCTCCGATGCTCTCTTGCCAATCTCCGCCAGAGAAGAAGAGCCATTATGTCCCTACACAAGATTACCCATGGCCGACCCGAATCAAGAAACCCATGGCCGGAGAAGAAGACCCTTTAAAGGTCTCCTCGCCGTCTCATTTGGTCTTTTGTTTATCGCCTTTTACGTCGTTCTCATCGCCACACACGACGGATCTAGATCCAACGACGCTGGGATCCATGAAACAAAGACGACAACGTCACGTGCACGTCTTGCTGGTGTGTCGGAGAAGAGTAACGATGGGTTATGGAAACTTTCCGGTGATCGGAACACGCCGGCGTTTGAATGGAACAATAGTATGTTGTCGTGGCAACGAACGGCGTTTCATTTCCAGCCTGAGCAGAATTGGATGAACGGTAAACAATAATTACATTAAAAAAATATATATTTTATTGATTTTACTTATTTGTTAATTTGAGCAGCAAAAAGAGAGAGTATATACTCTTTTTTGTTATAAATTCACAGAATATTCATTTTTCCTTTTGATGTATATTTGTTTTCCATAATCTGGGAGAAAATGTTGAAAATCATATTCAAATTTCCAAATTATGCAACAGTGATTGATTCTTTCAAATCGAGTGAATTTTAATACTATAAAGCATTATATAGATTCATCATAAGATCTTGTGATGATTTTTAATTTCATAGTAATTACTAATTAGTTTGTTTGTTTGTTTTGTTCCAAAATGGTGTTGCTCAATGGCAAATTTGGGCTTTTCTTTCCCCAGATCCTAATGGTAAGTTTTACTTTCCTTTGTTTTCTGAATTTCTCTTAGATTCTGTGAATTTTGGTTTCTTTTGATTATGTAGAGTTTGAAAATTAATAATAACTGGAGCGACAAGAAGTAGTAGTTCACAGAACAACATATCACACAATCCACGTTATAGCCAATAATCAACAAAAATATATAAAACTAACAAAGTAAAAAGTTCACCGACAAAATCAGAACAGAGTTACCTCACAACCAATTACAAAATTACTAGTAATATTTAGTTGTACTTTTTTGGAAAAATAATATATTTATTTACAACTGAAAAGGTAAAAAGTTCACAGACAAAATCAGAACAGAGTTACCTCACAACCAATTGCAAAATTAGGATTATTTCTTTAGAAAAATTGTTTTGCCAGTTTGTATCCCACGTGAGAATTTCACATGCTAAAAAGATTGTTTAAATCATTGGGTTTTTTTTTTTTTTTTTTGCTAAAGATAAATCATTCATTGGTTGCCATAGAAAAGTAATCTTGACTGTATAAAATCCTTAATGAATGCAAAGTTTGGATCTTGTCTCAAATTGGATAAAGCCAGTGGGGTATACGAACTAAGCTATATTTGTTTTTGGTACCTTAAAACTTTCTTATGTACTAATAGAATCCCCAATATTTATTTATTATTCTTATTTTGACCTCAAAAGACTAAAATGTTTTGCATTTTTGTCCAGGTCCATTGTTCTACAAAGGATGGTACCATTTCTTCTACCAATATAACCCAAACGCAGCCGTATGGGGTGACATTGTTTGGGGCCACGCCGTGTCTAGGGACCTAATCCATTGGGTCCATTTGCCCATAGCCATGGTCGCTGATCAATGGTACGACTCCAATGGTGTGTGGACCGGCTCAGCCACAATCCTCCCTGATGGCTCTATAGTCATGCTCTATACCGGTTCCACCGACAAAGCCGTGCAGGTATGTACCCCGAAATTATTCCAACTTTACAGTTTACATTCAATCTTTAAATTGTTGGACCAAGACAATAACATTTTAGAAACAGTATTCACAAGAAACAAGTTAACTTACAGAAAAAAAGAACACACAATAATTTCAAATCAAAATTTTTATTTTTTGTAGCTTACTACCAAAGTACTCTTTTATAAAATATAAAATTTAATAACACTACTAAAAATGGTTGAATCCAATAAATTGTAAAATCTAACAAGTTTTTTTTGAAGATATATATTACCAAACTAGTACGTTTTAACTTTTAACTATAAAAACTAATTCGACCATCAGTAGGTAGATCCAATGATATATATTTATGTCTGAAAATGATTTCTTAGAACAATAAATGATATTTTGTTTGTTTGAAATGTTAGGCGTATAGTAGAGTTAATAAGTATAAGTTCATATAGCCAGATTTTTGGTATGTTAGATACTGAACATGTAAATTAGGTTTAATGATTGTATCAATGATCGTAATATAATGTTTGTAGGTCCAAAACCTTGCCTACCCTGAGGACCCCAGCGACCCACTTCTCTTGAAATGGGTCAAGTTCCCGGGAAATCCGGTTCTAGTACCTCCGCCCGGTATTCTCCCTAAGGACTTCCGTGATCCAACGACTGCGTGGAAGACATCAGAAGGAAAATGGCGGATCACGATTGGCTCCAAGCTCAACAGAACTGGAATCTCACTCGTGTACGACACGACCGACTTTAAAACATACGAGAAACTGGACACTTTGTTGCACCGAGTTCCTAACACCGGAATGTGGGAGTGTGTTGACTTTTACCCGGTGTCTAAGATCGCGGACAATGGGCTCGACACATCGGTCAAAGGACCGGATGTGAAGCATATCGTGAAGGCTAGCATGGACGACACCAGGTTCGACCATTATGCTGTAGGCACGTATTTCGATTCAAACGGAACATGGATCCCGGATGATCCTACTATCGATGTCGGGATGAGTACTAGTTTAAGATATGATTACGGAAAGTTCTATGCTTCAAAGACGTTTTACGACCAGAACAAGGGTCGAAGAGTCTTGTGGAGTTGGATTGGTGAATCTGATAGTGAGGCTTCTGATGTACAAAAGGGTTGGTCGTCTGTTCAGGTATGTGTTGTCAAGTTAGGTTTTTTGTAATAGTTGCTTGTAATCCAAGTTTCTAAGATTTTTGTTTATATGATCATTAGGGTATCCCAAGAACCGTTGTCCTCGACACAAAGACAGGAAAGAACTTGGTTCAATGGCCAGTAGAAGAAATCAAATCTCTTAGACTAAGCAGCAAGCAATTCGATATCGAGGTCGGTCCTGGGTCAGTGATACCTGTTGACGTGGGTTCCGCGGCTCAGCTAGACATCGAAGCAGAATTCGAGATCAAGAAAGAATCTCTCGACAAAATCCTCGGAAACGCTTCCGTAATGGCTGAAGCCGAAGAATTTAGCTGCGAGAAAAGCGGAGGCTCCACCGTCCGTGGTGCTTTAGGGCCATTTGGATTCTCGGTTCTCGCTACTGAAAGCTTGTCAGAGCAAACACCGGTTTACTTCTATGTAGCTAAAGGAAAAGATTCAGAGCTCAAAACAATCTTCTGCATAGACACCTCAAGGTATCAATTTCTTAGAATTATCACTACACATTATAATCTAAACCATAATCTATTACACTTTCCTATGACAGGTCATCTGTAGCTAACGATGTCGTTAAACCGATATACGGTAGCGTCGTACCGGTTCTAAAAGGGGAGAAACTGACCATGAGAATTTTGGTAAATAACTGAATCATATATTAAACCATATATACTTTGATATACTAATTCCATTAACTCATTACAATATGGACTGATTTTTTTTTTATTTTTTCATAGGTGGATCATTCGATAGTAGAAGCATTTGGACAAGGTGGAAGAACATGTATAACATCAAGAGTTTATCCGACAAGTGCAATCTATGGAGCAGCCAAGCTTTTCTTGTTCAATAATGCTCTTGATGCTACTGTTACGGCGTCGTTTAGAGTTTGGCAAATGAACAGTGCTTTTATTCATCCTTACACTGAGGAAGCTTTCCGTGCTCTCACCCGTACCTGATTATTTCTACTGCCTTCCTCATTTTTTATACATAGATTTATCTGTAATAAATTAATGGTCTCTTTTTTTTTTGGTTCTTCTTTTCCAATTTAGCCGTTTAATTATTTTATTTGATCTTTCATCCATCATGCAGAAAAAAGGGCACAGAAACATCATTATTACAAATTTACAATTTTGAAGAAATAAATTTGTTTAATAGATTTTTTTGTTCATGTTAATAATGAAAACCTTCGGTTTAGCACAGAGGGTTTGAGAAACACAGCCTTTTTCTTTTGGGCTCATCGTCAAAACTCAAAGTGTTGGCGATGGTACTGTTCGGCTTCTTCTTGCTCTAAAGCAATGTGTTCTCTTCACTCTTTTTCTTCCGTAGCAATTTCATTCAGAACCCAAAAGTACGTAAACACCCCTCTCGTTCCTCGCTTATCTCCTATAGGATCCCGTAGTTATCCTCTACCGTTGAGGGCAGCGACGTCAATTGATGAAATCCCTCCTAATGCCGTTCGCCGGAAAATAGACCGGAACTGGAGAGGTGGGTTCAGTCTCGGCGTAGATTTAGGTTTATCTCGAACCGGAGTCGCTATTAGTAAAGGCTACACCGTTAAACCTCTCACGGTAACTTCGAAATTTCTCGACCTCGCTGCGTTTACGATAATGAAGAAATTGATAGGAATTGCGTTTTATCAGGTTTTGAAATCTAGAGGACAAAAGCTCGAGACCAGGCTATTAGAAATTGCTGAAGAAGAGGAGGTTGATGAATTCATAATTGGGTTGCCGAGATCTTCTGACGGGAAAGAAACGATTCAATCGAACAAAATCCGATCTGTTGCCGGACGTCTCGCTGTTCAAGCCGCCGAGAGGTGAAGCAGACTCACACTTACACATTCATATATCGATGAAGTGTGATGAAATTGGTAAAGTTCTGGCCTTTTCAGGGGTTGGAGGGTTTATGTATTTGATGAACATGGAACAACATCTGAAGCTTCAGACAGAATGATTGTAATGTTAGTTTTTTCTTCTGAATCTCTCTCTGTTCTTTGTTTAGCAATTCATGTTTCATGTCTTTAAAGTTTGTCTTTTTATCTACATTATGATCTATCAACAACCTTAATGTACTTGCTGCTTCCTTAAAACATTGAACTTTCATGAAATTTTTCATGTTTTAAACATTCTATATTCTTTCAGGGGACTTAGCAAGAGTGAAAGACAGAACGGATCAGATGCTTACGCTGCTGTGGTAAGGCGATGAGAACACGATCTTTGAGTTGTTTAAATGTAGCTACTACGTTCCATATTGAATCTTATGTTACAGATATTGTTGGAGAGGTATTTCTCTACACAAGGCTTAGGAGTTGAGATTATACTTCCCAAGAGTTTAGAGCTTCAAGCGAAGATCAAGAACGGTGCACCTGTTGACCCCGACTTTAATCCGGAAAACCTCGAAGAGTATTACACATTCTAAAGTAGTTGTGGAATTCTTTCGATTTTAATGGTTTCAATTCGTTTCTCGCATGCATCAGTATATAAACACAGCAATAAGTTTCTGTTCAAGACCTTGTTAGTTGTTACCGCACATGATTGACAATTTTGTGGAAAGCCAAACTAAAGATCTGATTTTTTGTTTCCTCTGCTTCCGTGTTCTGTGTCACAAGGCAGAACAAAGTCAAAGTAAATTGTGAAAGACTTGGAACCAAGAACAAAACAGGTGAACATAAGTGACATACGTGTGCACACCTTGCCCAAGCAAAGTGGATAAAGTTCGAAATCCTTCACACGTGCAAGAACATCTCTTCTACAAAGTTGAATGTAACATTTCTCCTCTGCAAAGTTTTAGACTTTAACAATGGCTTTCTCTTCTCTATCTCCTCTACCCATGAAGTCACTTGACATTTCAAGATCCTCATCTTCTGTCTCAAGATCTACGTACCATTTTCAGAAGTACCCATTGAGACGTCTACAGCTAAGTTCCCGTTCAAACTCAGATATCAAAGATTCATCAAACACAAGGTGAGACTCGAATACTTCCACTAGCAAACATAGAATGTCAATCTTTTCTTGTTTTTGCAAATTTTGGAGGTCTTAGAAACTTAGGGGATTGAATTGTTTTTCGAAAAGGGAAGGTTGTTGTTCCAGAGCAGAATCAAACACGTGGAAGAGGATCTTATCCGCAGCAATGGCGGCTGCGGTCATAGCCTCGAGCTCCGGCGTTCCGGCCATGGCAGAGCTTAACAGGTTCGAGGCCGATACACGTGGCGAGTTTGGGATTGGCTCGGCTGCTCAGTACGGTTCTGCTGATCTCAGGTATCATATAGTGTTCTTGTATTAAAATTATTGGAGAATTTTCATTTGTTTTTGATGAACTCTGTTTCTTTTGCAGCAAAACAGTTCACTCCAATGAAAATTTCAGGTAAAATTTTGACTATAGTTTGTGATGGAGATTGGAGTCAATATGATATGATAAAGTTTTAAGCTTTGATCTTTAGGAAGTAAAAGTTTTTAGTTTGCTCAATTTTTAACTAATGAAATTTTGAATCAACAAACCATCAATCTGAAGAAGCAAGATTTTTGTTATAATTGTGTGAAGTGGCTTACTGATATTGCAGAAGAGCCAACTTTACTTCTGCAGACATGAGAGAATCTGATTTCAGCGGTTCGACCTTCAATGGTGCCTATCTTGAGAAAGCAGTTGCCTACAAAGCTAACTTCTCAGGTTAGTCTTTCTCAACTGTGTTATCACTTGTCTTCCCTTTGCAATGATTAAGGATTTATGGTATTAGACTTATGAAAGAGAACAACTTCCACAAATCAGAATCGATTCTTCACATGTACCCTTTTACTAGTTAAACTTCCTTGAATCTCATTTCCTTTGCCTCCACAAGCATTTTGACATTGTTTCGAGTAACTGTTAACCGATTAAAGCTCGATTCTTTTACTCATTTCCTTAGATCCATTTGGAGTATATCTTTCATTGTTTGTTGGATAACTTTTTTGTGAGCTTTAAGACCCTGGAGATGTCTATCTTCAATTCTTTAAAACGTTCTCCATGAACTTCACCATAGTGACAACCTCCATTACATGCAACACCCGAGTTTTGAAATCTAGAAGTGTTAGCCTTAGGAATCTGAGAATTGAGTAGTTCATTTGATTCCATCTTTGTCCCACGAAAATCTGGCAAGTATCTATGAACAAACACAGTTCTTCGGCCGTTTTCTTGTTCTGTAAACTACTTAATCCAAGAAATCTTCGCTTCAAAGAATTCATATTTTGCGGGGAAATTCATTCATACCTTAATCTTATTGTGGTTTGTATTTATGAAAGCTGTGAATTTCAATGGCAGGAGCTGATTTGAGTGATACATTGATGGACCGTATGGTAAAAACACCACACACCGTACTTTGTATACATTTACTTGCATATGAGGCATTAATCTTTCGGTTAAAGCTCGATTCTTTTCTGCCGAATCTAGGTGCTAAATGAGGCGAATCTGACAAATGCAGTGCTGGTCCGATCGGTTCTAACCCGAAGTGACCTCGGTGGTGCCAAAATCGAAGGTGCCGATTTTAGTGACGCTGTGATTGATCTTCTTCAAAAACAGGTAACGTGTACATTTATCCATCGGTTCCATTGTCAAAAAACTATTTACAAATGGTTTTCCATCTCTTTTTGAAGGCTCTGTGTAAGTACGCAAACGGGACAAACCCATTGACCGGAGTGGACACGAGGAAGAGTCTTGGCTGCGGAAATAGCCGGAGAAATGCATATGGCTCGCCTTCTTCTCCTCTTCTCAGTGCACCGCCTCAACGTCTGCTCGGCCGTGATGGATTCTGCGATGAAAAGACCGGTCTCTGTGATGCCAAGTAGTTCAAAGATGTTACAAAATCATGTATGGTTACAATGCTGATATATCTTATAATATGTTGTGCGACAGTAATCATGTAATGTATGTTTATAGGAGTATTGAATTGTAAATGACTGGAGAAAGAAAAAGAACAAAAAGATAACACTGAAAAAAAAGGAGATAATAATTAGTTTTGTCTCTTAGACAATCAAAAAGTGTTTTAACTGGTGAATGTCTCTCTACCTAGGTTGTCCCCTAACATTTTAAAATAAGGGACTGATTGATTACTTTTTAGACCACATAAATTATAATCGCATTCTAAAAATATTCCACTAGCAATATAATTTCCCTATGAAACTTAACAAAATTTTGCTTTACAAATGAAAACCAACATTTTAATTTACAGTTGTGTGCAAACAAGTCCTACATTTGAGTGGATATTACGGAATGCAATAATTTTTTTGTATTATTTAACAAGTTTTGGCAATTAAACAAATAATTACTTCAACAATAGTTAAATAATCGTTAGTGTTTCAAAGTGTATATTATGGTCTTGGGATTTGTGGATTATAAAAAGAAGTAGAAACAGACTAATAATTGCACGTCACATGTTACTGTCTCATATTATATGCTCTATTACTCCCTAATGTTACTCAGGATTCAAGTCGGTAACGACAGTGTTGGTGATTAAATTGCTACAGTATTAATTTAACTTTCCAAAGGTGTAATTAATTGTTTTATTATAGCCGCGGTAATTAAATAAATTTTGGATTTATATCCAAGCTTCTCTGGACCGTTTCTGTCAAACAACCCAAAGAGCACGCCCTAATCATGATGTTCCTTGCACCAAATTAAATGTGGACGATTTTGATCATTTTCTCCCATTTTTTTTTAATTGAAAAAAAATTCTTTAAATTAAATGAGGAGATTGATCAAATTTGGGAAAATGATACGATATTCGTTAATATATCCGCCTATTATACGATACGATGATCAATCTGTTAAGTTCTATGGGCTTCCAACTCAAAACCAATTGGCAATGAGTGGAGTGGCCCATATCCCTTTATATATTACTTAGGATCCCTTCCAACTTCCGATGTGGGACCATCTTTGGGTCGGATCGGGTTGGACATGTGTGCCCATAGAACTTAACATGGTATCAGAGCCCGATCCACACATGTCCAACCCGATCCGACCCAAAGATGGTCCAATCATCGACAAGGCCCAAAATTGATGCCGTCGATCTAAGCCCGAATATTCCGAGATTAATGGCCAAAGAGCCATCATCTCGAGGGGGCGTATTAGGACATAATGTCCCACATCGGAAGTTGGAAGGGATCCTAAGTAATATATAAAGGGATATGGGCCACTCCACTCATTGCCAATTGGTTTTGAGTTGGAAGCCCATAGAACTTAACACAATCAAGTCCAAGATTGGCTCAATATATCCGCACAATTAACAGAATTTAGTCGTCTAAGTTAATTCATCTTTTAATATTAACTAGGGTAAAAACCCGCGCTCCGCCGCGGGAAAATTTTTATAAATTATTTTTGTTACTAATGACTTTGCTTAAATTAAGATTATGAGGTCCACAATGAAATTTATATTTTTGGTTTACATAATAAAAGTTGTCTTGCTTTTTTTGTAACACAAACAAAAGAGTATCCAAACTTGAATTTAAACAATAAACAATATTTTTATTGAAGTTAGAAACAAACCGAGAATATAATAAATTATATTAAGTATATTTATTAGACATCATTTGCAAATGTTAAAATCACATTATTTGTTTCCATTTTTTTCCTTTTTTTATAAACCGATAAGTAAACTCTTCTTCGTGTATTTAAGAAAAAAAGACAGGATTCAAAATAAGTTTTTACATTTTGTTTCATTTTAAATTTCTTTTGCAATATATTATCTAAACATCAGTCACATAGTCACGTACCTAAACTATAGGTATTTTGTCCATAAAACATTTTTATGTCTGTGGATTACTCTTATATTAAATAAACACCTAATTATCATCCTAATTATATACGGCATAGGATGATAATTAGGTCTTTATGCAATCAAAGTAATTGGCCGACATAGAAATTTATACATGCCTTTAAGGTTTAAATAAAGAGGCTTCTGAATCTGAAATTGATGAAAACTATATAAAGCATTTAACCCATTATGTAGCATGGATATACTAAATAAATAAATAAAATAAGTAAATAAAAAATACTCTAAATCATCTTTTTTTGTTAATCAATTCTTTAATCAACTAAATTTTCCAAGTTGACAGTTTTTGTCAATAGATGAGATAATCAAAACAACAACGATAAAAAGGAAGTTCAAATCCACGATATTAAGATGAGAAGAGATAATTGTGATATCAAACAACAGCATAATACCTTTTTTAAAAATGTTTACCTTTAATTTATAATTAATTGGTAATTTTGAAAAAACACCTAAGTTAGTCTTTTTTTCAACATCATGTGTAGATTAAGAACTAAAAAATCAAAAACATCATGTTTCTCTAGTAAATTTCAGGCTTAAATTACATTAAATAAATATTAGTAAGCTATTTGGATTTTTCTAAATAAAACATGGCGTAGGCGAAGGTTTCATTTTCGGCAACGTAGGCACGGGCCTGGTGCCAACTCAGCATTAGTGTCTGTTTTACTCTGTTTAGACCTTCTGTTTTTCTTCTTCTTACGATAGTATACTTGCTCTAACGTATCAGACTTCTACTGCTAAACTTTGAGTAACATCATCTCCACTTCTTCCTCTTTTGTAACGAAAATCAAAATCAAAAAGAAGATTGCAAATTTGATAGTGAAATAAAACCGTAGACATTCTGCTGGCTTAAAACCCATAACTGAAGTCTGAAGTTGATAAGGTCAATGCAACTATTCCCTTAAAACCAAGTCAAAGTACAGAACATCAAGCAAAAGAACATAACCATACCAGTTTAACAGGAACATAAGCTCTAAAACTGCCTGGAGTGTAAGACTCTGTTTTCAGCTTTAATCAAGTTTATTTGCCAAAAAAAAAAAAAATCTGAAACTGCCTTTCATTTTCCAAATTCATCAAACCAAGAGACTTTAGTAGACATATAGCTAAAGCTTATCACAAAATTCAATTCAAAAGTCCTAGATGTTGGAAACAAATGAAACAAAGTTTTTTTTTTCAAGAAAATGCTTACAGTGAATAAATGGCAGAAAAGAAACCGAAAACCTATAACCTATAACCTATAGTAGGATAAGTAAAACCTCGATCGTGGCAGCTCCAACAATCGATTGCCCGTTCTACTTCGACACCATCAATGTATAAATCTCACCCACACCTAATTGAAGCTGAAAATTGAAAAGAAAACAAACAAAACATAACCTTTGATCAAGACAAAGCAACACACTTTAAAATCTAGCTCAATGTAGAAAAAAATTGTGTTAATGATATTTAGAATTAAATTCTCATAATTAGATCAAATTGTATGAACTTAAGTTTGTTAAGTGAAATGTACCTAAAACACCGAATATTGACTGAATTTACATATCAATATGATTTTTATAACTTTGTTTCATTAAAACCATAGTATAAGATTAATCCTCATCAATATATTTTTATAACATAAAAGAAGGAGACTTGTGCATAAGATTTGAAAGTCATATATAAAGTCTCCTTATATATTACGATACCAACCTCGAGAGCCTCTGTGTCCAATAAGCTCTAAATAGAAGCAAAGAGAAATAAATTATCAGAAGAATGATGAAAAGGATAATAAGAGAAATCAGTTGTCAAGAGTGATGAAGCTTATTATATGCCCAAGGATTATAGCGAGTCCTGTTTTAGGCAAGCCAAATACTGGATTTTCGCCTGAAAATTTCCGAATATTAACCATAATTGCCTATCTTTCCCCGTAGACTATAATAAGAAAATGACCAGATAAGTCAATACCACAGATTCGAAGATCACAAGCTAGAGCCATTTCGACTCGACCTCCCAGTGTTGCACCTTATATTGAAGCAATAGTTGGGATACTCGGTGCCTAGAAACACAAGTCTTGAAAGTCACTATAGCATGCAAATCTCACTGAGATCCAAAATATAGAACTTTAACGTAGCAGTAAAGGAACACAAAAAAAAATCAAGTCCTCAAAACAATTTCATATCAGTAAAAGCACTATACATTCCTCTTCACTTTGAGTTTGAAGACTATTAAATTCCCGTATCTTGATAAAGCTAGAGCTACATTCTAACGATTTGATGATACAATATTACATAAAGACTTGCGGTTAATTTTGCACTCAATTTCAACACCAAAACACCAAGAAAAAGAAGGTAAAACTGTTAAAGGTGTCAAACAAGACTTGTTCATTTCAATTTGTTCAACAAAAAAAAGGATCATTCTTAAGAAACCATTCAATAACATTTATAGAAATGAAAACTGAAAGAAACAAACCAATGAACAAGAAAGGAGATAAAAGAAAAGCGAAATTACCGGAATCGGAACCAGTTAGACGGAAAAGCTTGACAAATTCAGGCGGAGCGGTTTCAATTATAAGAGTCCGGCAGTTTTGAAGCATGACTAACTGGAGCATCTCGGCGGAGATTTTTGACAAAGCTCATATTCTACGACTCCGACCTGTGAACCCTCAAAAACTTTTCTCATGGATCCAAATACCGATTTTTAAAAACTTTTCTTTTTCTCGTTCTCGTCAAAAATTCTGATTTAGTTTTAGTCTTCGTCTCCGATTGGTGTTATTGTGTTAATAGTAATACTAAGCCCACTGCAAAATAAAAATAAGCCCACTACTAAATAAGAAAAAGCCCAAGTTGGTGATATAGAAAAATGATGTGGAACAGAGGAGAATTCTTATTGGACAAATATGATGATCTGTATTAATTGTTATAATTTGATTGGCCAAAGTTTTTAATGATGTGTCATGCTCAGGAAAGCTGAAAAAGCTGATGTGTCAGATCAGGAGAGAAACCTAGTGTTTTTATTGTATTGATCACAGATTATATTCGTTAATCGCAGTAAGAATATTATTAAAAATTATACCTAGGTGAATTATAATCTACGGTTTCTTTTAGTGCCGACATTGAATTAAACACAATAATTACAAAATTTCTTCATGAAATGTTTTAGCTTCTTCTTTCATGTGAATAAGAAAACAAACAAACAAAAAGAGGTTATTCTTTCTTTTTTCACGGCTTGTCTCTATATAACAATAGTATTGACTCGAGTATGTATCTCCTTCAAGCCACATTCTCCTTCTTTCTTTTTCACTATTTATGGTTATACATCCTCTTCAAGCTTCATTGGAGTAATTTTTCTCATGAACACAACTCCGGTAAGTCGCCAGTCCAAATTTTAATTAGTATAATTTTTTTGAATTTGCTCTATATACACTATACCTATGACTTGTGTAGATTGTGTTAATGTTTCACTATTTTCCATATTCAATAAGTACATAATTATATTCATGCATTGTTGTCCAGAATATGAATTTCAAGAATCTTACATTAATAAATATTACTGAACGCTTCTAAAAGAACAAATGAGATGTGGATATAGTACATGTACAGCTAGTGAGAATCAGGTCAGACAAATAAATTTGAAGCAAAAAGCTTTTTTTTTTGTTTAAAAAAAAAGCTTATTAGTGTTTGTGAAATTGTTTTATATATAACTAGAAGATTATTTAGAAACAAAAATAATAAGAAGAGACAATTGTCTATTAAAAAATATTGGAGTTACATTTAGATTAGAGTTTATATATGGTTAATCATATTGAGTACAAGTATACATACATAGATTCGCAATGTATATATGCATATACCATAAGTTCAATAATGTAGTAAGAATCAATCAAAGCAAATATAAATCTGTACCATCATCATCATCATCTACACTTGATTAGTGTTCGTGTGTACGTATATATAGGTATATATGCATTTATATTATATAATCTTCTCTTTCTGCTTACTTCCATAGATCAATCTGACAACTCGAAGAAGTAGAAGCAGCATATTCTTCTCCCATGTCAGAAGCCCGTTTCGGATCTTTTTCTTCATCAACTTGGTACTCAGCATTGCTTGTGTCCTTGGCATTGTTCTGTATAGATGCAGAAGCTGTGGCGGCCTCCTCGTTGCTTAGCTGAGAAGCTACAAATTTATCGAGAACTCTCCAGTCCGTCACTTGGTCCATCACTTGCTCGTTGTCGCTATTCATGTATAGAGAGCTGAAGTTCTGATTCCCTTGATTCAGTTGTTCCTCATGCGCGAGATTTGATTGCTGCAAGTTAGCATTATGGCTCGTGTTATTATTGATGTTGCTTGTTCCATAAGGAAGAGAGTTGCAATTACTGTTATCTTGTTGAATCTTAGGGCTTTCTAGTTGAGGAAGTTGGAGGAATGATAAATGAGATTCATCAAGAAGATGATTTCGTTGTACCAGGTGGTTATAGTGTAGTTCTAGCTCTTGCTTGCATTGCAAGTTAGGGTTGTTGAGAGCGTAAGCAGATGCATTGAGGCCATATGGCATGTGCTGTTGGTGCTCGTGCTGCTGCTGATGATGATGATTAGGGAGAATTCGTCGTTGACCGTTTGTCTCGAGCTCGGAGGCCATAAAAGAAAGTTGATCATCGTACCAATTGCAATGTGAAGGCGATGAGTCGTAATCTCCCATTCGTCTAACTGCAGCCAATCTCTTCTTGAAAACCCTACACACAACCCATCCTTCTTCCTACAACCAATGATCATATAATGAGATTACCTCAAATGATTTCAGGAGATCATATATATAGTTAGATATTGTTTAGCATAAACATCCAACTAAATTTTATAGAGAAGTTACGGTTTAGGGTTGATATATTAATACCTGAGGAGTTCCGTTTTCATCGGTTTCTAAGCGGTATTCGTGCATGATCCAATCGGACTTTTGTCCATTCGGGGCTCTTCCCTTATAAAACACAAGTGTTTTCCTCATACCAATTAGACTATGCCTCAAATAGATAGCCTTATCTCTTCCAGTGGCTTTCCAAAACCCTGCTTTTGTTGCTCTATTGGTTCGAGTCCCTGTGGGATATTTCTTGTCTTTATGGCTAAAGAAGTACCAATCACTCTGCTCTTCATGCCCAATTTTGCACAACTCTATTTGCACAAAAGAACAAAAAACACTTTGAAAATCTTTCCTTAGGAAATTGAATCAAAGGATAGAGATGATGTGATTGAGAAAACCTTGAAGGTCCCATGGCTCAATCTTGTAAAGATCAATGTCCTTAATGAAATCAATTTCAATTCTCTTCGATGCGACTTTTTTCCTCAGGTAGTAGTCTACAAGTTCTTCATCTGTCGGGTGAAATCTAAAGCCCGGAGGGACGTGGGAAAATGAATTCATCTTTTAGTCTTCTTGAATGATTAATAATCTGCTTATAAGAAAATTACCAAACAAATTGAAAACAAAGTCATGAAATTATGAACATAAGATAGTGTTATAGCTAGGTAGTTACATTTCTTACATAATGTGATTGTGAATTGGTTTATTATTTCGACACAGACATATGTTTAGGCGTATTATGCTGAATGTATAAGAGATTGAATTCAAAATCGACAAAATTATCGTCATACATTTATTTATTACAAGAGTTAGTTTTGTACTTTTGTTACATCTAAAGATATATGAGACCATTTCCAATGGTTAATTCATTAATGTAAAGTCATGTAATTATAGTTAATTTTTTTAAGAAACTAAATCAGTGAAACTACCAGAATAATTTCCAATTATCATGTATGATGATAGTTAATTTGATTTAATGAGATGCATAATTTCAGATTTAATATACTGATCGATATTATAAGTTGATTCTGCTTATTTATTGATTCATTTTTATAACACCAACTTGGATTATTTTTCCATGTAAGTACTATAACCAAACAAGTAAACAGATCAGAATATGAAGAGGAGTAGTATTGTTTGAAGAGATGATGATCCATCTTAAGAGACGATTATTTTTTAGGTTTTTGTATAACATCTTATGAAAACTTTTAATTAACTTAACAAAAAAAATCCAGCTTGATATACTTATTTATCTATTTTATTATAATTTAATATTTTAGGTTTAGATGATAGTTTGCTTTGCTTGTAACATTAGCAACATTGAGTATGAGAAGATGATGATGATGATGCAGATCAAGGTGATTGATGAAGATAATGATCAAGGATGATTAAAGATGATGATCAAGTTTTACTTAAAGAAGAAAAAACACCCAATATTATCATATTCAATCGGAGATTTACTAGAAAGTTGATATAAAATTAGGGTTTTACCTGAAGAAACTTTAGATACAGGATGATCCAGATGAAACCTTTTTAACAGCTTCTAACAAAGCTTTTTATGATTCTCTCTCGTGCTTACTATATATATAGCTTAACATCAGAAGTTTGAACACTTCACCATACGAGACTAGATAGAGAGAAAGAGATCGAGATAAGATCAAAGAGTGGACAAGATTTGACAGTGCTCCTCGGGGATAGGTTACTGGAAAGAGAGATCAGATCCCGAGAGAAAGAGAGAGAGAGGGAATGATAGAAAGAATGGGAAAAGAGAAAGAGAGTAGGGTTATATATATAAAGAAGATCAATCGAGGAAGAAAAGAAAGAGAGAGCACACAAAGACACAAATCAAAAGATGACAATCGTGTCCTAATAATCTATTATATTTTACTTTCTTTATCTCTCTTTCCCTATCAATCATACTCTCTCTCTCTCTCTTGTAAGTCCTTTTGAACCTAGAGAGAGAGAGAGAGGGACTTTATTTGTTGCAAAAGCTTGGGGGGAGAAGAGAGAGAGGAGGATAAAGGGGCAAGTAAGATTTAGAGAGAGAGAGAGAGAGAGGTGGCAACATCCATTACCACCCACCAGCTCTTGATGGATACTTGATCATCAACATTAAGGTTATTTTTCTTAGTTTTAATTTGGACTTCTTTTAATTTATGTCCTAAAAATAATGTCCCTTAATAAAAGTAACTCAACTGGTTTAGAACCCAACGATATTGCTGGTTTGATGGTAAGTTTGCGAGAATATACACCAGAGTTATTCAGATATCTCCGTAAAACATCAACATGATGATCATTCTTAAATTCAAGGTTGGCATGTCACTGTAATCTATTCGAACGCCATTGCACACAAAACACTTAGTGCTATAAAGACTATCATATATATTATCTAGAGATATTTAGTTATATGAGTTATTCTGTATTTCGTATGAGTTTAACACAATCAAGAGACAAAATAGTACTGTATGATCACTACCAATAATGTGAATTAACATTTTTCTTATATATAGGAGTTGGTTTTCATTTTTTTTCTTCTTCAAATTCTTTACGTTAATATAGAAATAGGTTTTCATTTATTTTCTTCTTCAAATTTTTTTACCTTGCAGTGTGATTTTCGGTAATCTAGGACCTAGCTAGGAATAATTTTTAAATTTGTTTACAATTTTGTACTTGCATTCACATAATTAATCATTCTGATGGAACGAAATGTGGAGACATACCAAAAATATTATGAAAGTATATGTATCTTCTTGATGAAAACCTTCTCTACGATATATTTTTTAAAAGTAATTATTACTTTCTATTTACATTATTACATATGTGAATATTTTCATCCTTTGGAAACTTCAAAAGTAACCATAGACAGATACCCGCTTCCGTTTTGATCCATTGACTGAAAGAAAGATTCATCTTAAACTATTTTGAGCATAAAAAAAAAATTATAATCTAAAGTCTTAACTTCAATTTTAAAACAAAGTTTTTGCCATTGATTACCTATTTCAGCCCAAAAAGATATTGTTCTGCTCTTAAGAAGAGAAAAAAAAAAAAAGAGCGCGGAATTTGAGCAAGGTAAAGCGGGACCCACAAAGGAAAAAAAAAACGGAATGATGTGGTGACGTGGCGGGTGGTGGTCCGGCGTGAGCGAGCCATCGATCATTTGCTGTTGCAGGCCGGTTGGTCACGTGGGCCCCTTCCCGTTATCCCGTTCTCTTAAACCTTTCTTAATCCAATTATTAATTAATTAATGTCACTGTGTTGATGTTAAAAGAAAAAAAAAAATTAATGTGATTTTTTTTTTTTGGTAAGGAAAAGTTAATGTGATTGTGTAACTAAAAAAATATCATCTACCTTTTCTTTTAAAAAAATAACAGAAACGAATTTTGCTTGTTTGTGTTTCCATAACAAAAAAAAAATTATAACTGATTCATATTTTTTTTTCTACCATACAAGAGATAGTAGTAAATGTGTCAATTATTAACAAAAATCAATAAATAAAATAAATAAAAAAAAACTCGATATCTGGAATTATTGTACCACATGAAAAATTCTTATAATTCAAAATTCGTGACTGAACCATCATCACTTGCTTCAACTAAATTTTTTCTATCCCCTATATATTAATAGAGAAACATTTTTTTAAAAAAACCTTACCATCATGTGTTATTAACAAGATTGTCACGCTAATGTGTCGCTCTCACAATGATTTGGCTTCTATTTAGATAATTACCCAAAATTTATTAGACTATTTACAGAATTTGCCATTAGTCTCATACATCCATATATCCCATTAATAATTAAAAACATACACTTTTTGTTTATCTTATATTACTATATTTTTATATTTATATTTTTCTTTATATACATTTATATAAATTTTCTTTAGTGGATGGGTAAACAATCTTTTTATTTATATTTATATTTAAATAATAAAATATATACATTTGGTTCAAGAATCTCGAATTCAAAACTACAAAATCTTTACATCTTTCATAAATTTTTTACTTAAATAAATAAGATAATTTTCTTTCTATATATATGTTACGAATACTTAAAATCCTATTTTTTGGAGGAGTTCTAACTTTTCGAAAAAAAAACATTATAACCACATTTGTATATAAACCAAAATCTGGCCACATTATAACCATTTCGTAAATAATCCATTCATAATCTAAGAATCTTAGATTTGTAACACTACAAAATCTTAGCTTGGAAACTATCAAATCTCATCTTTGCTAAATTTTGGATTTTTTATACTTATTTAAAAAAAATATCTTTTTATACTACAAAATCTCGAAATCTTTAAAACATACGGAAAGACATATTGCCATAAATGGTAACATTTCGTCAATACTTTTTTATCACGTTGAAGCTTTATTCAAGGTTCAAATATTTCACGGGTAAAACATATTTTTATATGAAATAGTCCCAAATTTGAATAAAACAAAAAAAATTTGTAACATGTTTCGTTTTACACAAACAGATCTTGGATCCCGGATAATAATTTTAATCATAATAATTTTACTTGAATCACTTTATCCCGCACATCGTGCGGGTTGTTATCTAGTATATGTGTATTATCGAATATATAAACTGAACAGTTACACAATGGTGGTATCCTTTAATTTCTAACCCATGCGGAAATTTTCGTACGAATTTTTTTTGCTGACTTATCAAATTTTGTAGAAATATTATCCGTGAATATATATATCTAAAATTGGTTCCCATATTAACTATACCAAATTTATTTCCGACCCTTATTATATCAGTATCGTGTAATCATTTAACTAATTAACTAACCAACTAACAGGATAATATTTTTAAAATACATATTAGGTAAGTTATATGTTTTGAATATAAAGGTATAGTTTGTGTTTAGGTAAGTTCATCAAATATCGGATGGTTATGCGGCTGATGTTAGGGACTTCGGGGCAAAGA